TCACATGACTAAATATTTATCATTTTTTACCTCAATTGATAAATCAATTGAGTCAAAAGTCAAGATAGGAAATGGTGAAATTGTACAAGCAAGTTGAAAAGGAACAATTTCTATTGCAACCAAGAAAGGTATGATAATTGTTAAAGATGTTCTCTACATTCCAAAATTGGATCAAAATGTTCTTAGTGTTCCACAAATGTTAAGGAATGGTTATGGAGTCTCTTTTAAAGAGAATTATTGTTTTATCATGGATGAACATGGTTTAGAGATTGCAAAGATTGAGATGACCAAAACAGTTTTTATTTGAAATTTGATTTGATTGAAGATCATGATTTTATTGCTAAAATTGATGAGAGTAATGTTTGGCATGGAAGATTTGGTCACACTTTTATGCAAGATGTATTTGATACGACAAATTCTAACAAATGGTATTCAAAGACAGGAGGGGGAGTTAGATTGAATGACAGAAGATCAATTGGCAGATATCTTCACAAAGGCACTTCCAAAAGGAAAGTTTGAGAACTTGAAAGGGAAACTTGGAGTTAATAGCTACTGATACAAGGAGGAGTGTTGAGAATCTGAATCAACATCTATTATTTGAGTTTATTTCAAATTAATGGAGCATTATTAGAATTTCTACGGTTATAAATTTTAATTATAGGAATTATAGGTGTTGTTACACTTTTATGAGTATTTACATTTGTCATTTAGTTTTATGTTTATGAGCAGAATTTGTATCAGTTTTCAATTGTATTTTGTGTATTTAAAAAGTTGCAAATATGAATAAAAATATATGAGTTTCAGCCTTCTAATTTTTCTGAATTCCAACATAGCTCGAGAGCCACTCACAGAAAGATAAACTTCACATTTCTTTGTAACGAGACAGTCATGGAAAATTGTTTACATCAGTACATATAGAACCTAATTTCCCCCATCCAAACTTATGCAGATTGCAGACATGCAGTAGTAGTTGATCTTGTCATAAATTGAAAAATCTGTCACAAACAGAAGTACCAAATAAAAAAAATTAATTGGTGAAGAAAAGGACAATCAATACCAATTAGATAAGTTAGCAAAATAATGAACTATGTAAGACAATTCATATCATACATCAAGAAGACGTATACCCCCTTATCTTATTTGCGACTGCAAGTTATGCACAAAAGATTATGGTGTTGAACACCGTGACTACTTGGTCTAGCTTGGGTATTGTTTGCTAACAAATTGATAAAGGATAATTCTATTGGCTTCAAAACTGGACAGTATAGAAGACAATTAGTTTTAGTTAGAATTCTATGAATAAAATGCCTAATATCCATTCAAAGGGGGGTTAAGCGCTTAGTATTATTGTCTAAAACAATCAAAATTCTTTGGATAAACCAATTGCAGAAGCTACTAATTATCATTGCTCTTGAATTTTCAAATAGTGCTCAACAAATTTGTTCTGCGACAGCTTTTATAGCCAAATAGCCATGCATGTTCCTGCCATATCATTACATCGTGGCTCAAAACAAATAATCAAGGTTATTAATTATACCCTTATTGTTGGGGTTATTTTATGGTATTTGTTTAAGGAGAAATTTTATGAGAGTTATTTTTATAAGGTTATTACATAAGTATACTCCACAATGATGAGATATTGTCCGTTTAGACCCAAAAATATTTGGATAAACCAATTGCAGAAGCTACTAATTATCATTGGTCTTGGATTTTCAAATAGTGCTAAACAAATTTGTTTGCAACAGCTTTTACAGCCAAATAACCATGCATGTTCCCCATATCATTACATCGTGGCTCAAAACAAATAATCAAGGTTATTAATTATACCTTTAATATTGAGGTATTATTTTATGGTATTTGTCTAAGGGGAGATTTTATGAGAGATATTTTTATAAGGTTATTACACAAGCATACTCCACAATGATGAGATATTGTCTACTTGAATGTTTGTCTGCGTAAGCCCTCACGGTTTTGCTTTTTAGTCATTGCCCAAAAGGTCTCGCTTTAATTGAAGTATGTTTGTGTTATATGAATTGTTATTTATTCTCTTATTTTATCGATGTAGGACTTGTTTCTATCCCAATACTTATTTTCTTTCTTAGTTTTATATTTTTATATTTATTTATAGGAAAATCAGTAAAGGTAGAAAATGGTATAGGAGCCTGAAACTGCTACAAGCAATGGAAAACAAAGATTAATTTATATCATCCTAAAAGTAGCGATGCAACATTGGAGAATGTATACCACAACCAAAACCGTATAGATACTTTCCCTCTCACATGCACACCAAGTAACACTACCCTCGAACCAATTTTATATCTGTATAAATTTATAATGTCTACTTATCATTTCAATTCAGATCAGTGATTTCTTGCTTTGGAAAATCAAAATTTGTGTCTTTGGACAATAGAAAAACAAAACAAACTTTCCGAAATGGTAAATTACTATCAAACGATATAGGAATCTGCGATGCAAGTGGTCAAGGTCGCCTTTTCTTTTTCTTCTACTAAAATGGGTTTAAAAAATTCAAAAATTTCCAAAACGCGTATTTTTTAAATTATAAACCCCAAGTACGCCTTGCTTATTGTTAAAAAAAATGTTTAAATCATAATTGTATATAAAATTTAAAAACTCATGTTTTTTCTTTTACCAAAAAATTTAGGTGAGTTGTGTATAGGAATGGCAAAATGAGCTGTGGTCTGCAGGCCGGCCTGTTGACCCGCAAAAATTTGGTAGGCTAGGTTTATCATTCCAATTCACCAACCTGTCAAGCCCACAACTTGTCGGTAATTTTTTTTGCATTTTTTTAATGTAATATGGGTTAGTCCGTTGGCCTATCAGTCCGTTAGCCTGCTTTTCAATGGCAGGCCAGCCTGACCCAACCCATTTTTAACGAGCCATTAACAGGGTGAGCCAAAACGGGTCGGACTAACCCACTTTACCACCCCTAATTGTATATAGAGGGAGAGTAGGCTTCAAGACTTTGACTATAAAGGCTTAGTCACTAACAAAGTGTTTACATTGTGTTTTAAAATACACTTTTATTTTAAAAAATAAAATTTGTTTTTTGATATACAACTTCTTCTTTTAAGAACGTATTTCACAACTATTTACCAATTTTTTTGATTTTTTAAAAAAATTACCCTACTCGAGTTATAAAAAAAAATAAAAATAAAAAAATAAAAAAAAAAGCCTATCAAAGGGTATTATATTCATAGAACACTCATTCCGGAACAAACAATAATGATGGATGAATGAAGCAATAAAATAAGTGTAGGATGTAATTCCCCAAGGTGAATGGCAACGGAGCTGTTTTAATTGGGCCACGGGAGGTAGACCATTTTATACAGCTATTGATCTAAGCCCAAAGGTTGAACGTCTATAACCGTGGACAGGAAACATGAACAAGGAGTATGGATCAAAACAAAAATACCTAAGTAGTGAATGCTTATAGACAGAAACAAAATTGTACTATTATGGGTTAGCATAACGTGATCCACCCCGTATAGGGAGTAGCCGTGGTCCAAGTATTGCTATATATGATAAAATTGTTGTTTTTTTAAATAATTATTATAAAAGCTATATTAGAGTAATTTCTAATTAATTGATAGTGTAAAAAGAATTACACTATAATTGTATAATAAACTTGTATTGAATATAAAATGGTGGTTTTTTTCACACTATTGCACTACTTTATTACAAAATGTTCATTTTTCAACTTAGTAATCAATGTAATGGTTTAGCTTAGATTAAAAGAAATAAAAAAGAATAAACATTTTTCTAGCTTATTTTTATGTGTTTGTCTAAATTTTTTTTTAAAAAACCGTTAAAAAAAATGAAATTTGAATTGAATTAGAAAGTTTATATTTTTATTATATATAATTTTGAGCATGTTTGACAAGACATTTGAGGAACTTGTAAGTTTTTTTTTATCAAAATAAACTTATTTAGCATGCAAGTTTATTTTAAAAACTTATAGTTTATTTTCACAAGCTAATTAAAGTAGTTTATAACTTATAAATTTTTTATCTTTTTTCTCTTTCCATTTTATTTTCAATAATTTACTTGAAATCTTTTTTACCCCATTTAATTTGGATTTTTTTTCCATACACCTTATTCTCTCACTTTCGTTGTCAATTAAGTATATATGTCCTTTCATATCAATGAGTTAACTTATTAGTGAATTTTATCAAACACTTTCAATTTAATTAATTAACTTGTAAGTTTTTGATTTTTCACCTCCTAACTTATAGTGCCTTCGTACCCAACCTAAAATATTATTTGTTCCTTTATATAAAATCTAATTCATAGTATTTGATGTATTAGTTATTTTTAGATTAAAATATTCCTAATTAAAATGTGTTCTCTTAATTTGATGAAATACAATAATTATATATAAACTCTTTAAAAGATAAACATTCTAATTGATTAGGAAATTAAACAGTATTAATTATGAGAGAGAAGTAATATAAAATATGCACTCTAATTAGTTAAGAGAAGAGTGAATATTAATTAAGAGAAAAAAGTAGTACAAGAGTAATTTTTTAAAAAATATAATTTTTATTATTATCAACTAAATTAACTATTTTTCTTGATCTTAGTAAATTAAATATTTGAGACTTATATATAAAAATAAAAGTAATATTTTATAAGTTTTCAACTGTCTTATAATTTATAAATTAGTTTTCCAAACACACCTTAAAATCAAAATACATGAAAACTATACATAAGTTTTTCCTTTTAATTTCACTCACATGCTTTATTTGTTAAATATTTCAATCTAATTTTAAATTTTGTAACTCAATTCAAATTTTAATGTAAGGAATAAAAAACAAGAAAGTAAAGCTTAACCATATAAGATTGAAATTGAGGGGGTCTTGTAATTCACATGTACGGTCATCCTGTTTTCCATAAAATGTATTTTATAGATTGATATATATAGACGAGTAACGCGACTCTATAGATAGAAGTAATGACCCGTTAAACAACTTAACCAGATTTAAAGCCATCATAAGTTTCAACGTGATGCATAATTCTTGGCTTCTTCCAGAGAGAGAGCTACGTTGTTTTAGGCCAGGAAATTAAGAGAATAGCATTAACAATCATAGCAAAGTGGGAAATGGATTGGTTTTTAAAGATTTGCACCATTGTGATCTCTTTCCTTAGTTTCATAATTTGTCACGGTCATGCTCTCTCAATCAGTTTATACGACGTGGAATGTGTATCAGAGCACGTTCTACATGATGGTGACACTGTTTCTGGAAATTTTGTAGTTATTGATTATGATATTTTTTGGAGCTCAGACCATCCTGGAATTGATTTCACCGTAAGCTAGCTACATGCCCCATTTTTTTCATACTTTCAATAATAATGTGCCAACAAGAGCATGTCTCTTAAGCACATTGCAATAATTATTAACCAAGTTGTGTGTTTGGTGGTTCAATGAATGCATCATAATATGTAGGTGACATCTCCGGGAGGGAATTTAGTGTACTCTTTGAAGGGAACTTCAGGGGACAAATTTCAATTCAAAGCCTCACATCAAGGAATATATAGATTTTGCTTTCACAATCCTGCTTCAACGCCAGAGACAGTATCTTTCTACATTCACGTTGGCCACATCCCAAACGAACATGACTTAGCTAAAGATGGTTAGTACCAACCAAATTTGGTGTCCCATTATAATTGAATAATTAAATTTGAATGATTGGAACCCAACATGAAGATTGAAATAAGTTTTGATGTCATGTTGCATTTAGAAGGTCTAACTCAATCCTAATATCTATCTTTAAGAGAGAGAAAATCATTTAAGGCATATAATTAAGAGGTATTTTACTAGCATTATTTAAATTAATTATGATATGTTAGTGTTGTTATTATAGCATGCATATGTGCGTCTTAATTTTTCAATCAGTTTATTTACTCAACTTTTCCTTTTGGTTTCAGAACATTTAGATCCCGTTAATGTGAAGATTGCAGAGTTGAGAGAAGCATTGGAATCTATTATATCAGAACAAAAGTACCTGAAGGCACGTGATATTAGACACCGACACAGTAAGTTAATCTCACTTGTTAGTCGCTATTAATTTTTCATATCCTTAAACACCATTTGAAAACTGAATCAGTTATGTGTTGTTGATAATGATAACTTTGCTGGGGTGAGAAAATGATACAAAGAAAATTCTAATTAAAGTTGTTGAGAAGTTCCAGTTAGCCTCAATTACTTGGGTATAATTAAATGCATGATAGACAAGTTTACTTAGCGTTATTTATTTTCGACATAAAATCTAGCAAAAAATCAAGTTTTATGTGTACGTGTTAACCGATGCATTTGGGTGGATTGTAAATTATTTTTGGTTAATTCATTTGATGTATTAAATTTTGCATTTGCAGCTAATGAAAGTACCAGAAAACGTGTTGTCTTCTACACAATATTGGAATATGTTTTGTTTGCTGTTACAAGTTTGTTGCAAGTGGTATACATTCGACGCCTCTTTAGCAAATCATTTGCTTATAACCGAGTGTAGGCTTCATAATAAATGTTGATAGAATTCTTTTATTTTTATCTTTTTAATTCTTCTCACCTACCTTTGTAACTTCTCTATAATTAATAACCTATTAATTCTTTATTTGAATATTGACCAAGTAGCATCAAAATGTCGTTTAACTTGAACTTATCAATATATTTTGTAATTTGTGAAATGAAATCATAGTTTACTTCTAAGTACTCTTATTAATATATAAGTCATTTTTTCTATAATTTTAAATCAAGAATTAAGTTTATAACAAGTGTTTCTTGTTAAGATATAAATTACTTTTCAATTCATGAAATTTAACTAATTATAAACGATGGCTCAAACCTAGGTGGTAGTTTCATATACACTTTTTTCTTCTTCAAGAAAGCATTAGGAACATCTAATTGATGTAATTCAAGAAATCTTGGCAACTGCAATTGTCAAAAAAGGTTTAAATTGTCACCATATTTATTGCAAGCTAAAATATTTCATTATACTCCCTCCGTTTTTTTTCATAGTCGTTTTGTCAGAGTTTGTTGTTTTTTTTTTCATTGTCATATTACTAAAATCAATGAGTTATTAATTTTTTTCTTCCATTTTTACCCTTGATAATTAATACATGTTTCCTGAACAATGTGTGTATTTATTTTTAATGTCTACCTAATTTTTCTCTAACTACTCATATAAAGTTAATGTGCATTTATAAGAGTAATATGTTCCCAACAAAATACTATAAAAAAAACAAAAAAAGGGACAACTATTTAATGGAGTAGTTCAACAGTCTAAAGATGCAAAAAAAAGGTAAAATAGGAAAGTAAGTAATAAATATTTTTGAAAACTAAAATATTAATGATTTCCTTAATTCCCGTGCAAAACCTTAAACGACTATGAAAAAAAAACGGAGGGAGTAATCAATATCTTTGACTTGTTTATTCCCATGAATCACCAACCTTACCTTGTGGTGTTTAATACCCATGAGAATTTTATTATAATCTTGTGATGTTTAATATACCTTACCCTGCATCCTATAACTTCCTTACCTGACAACAAGTCTTTTATTTTCCATGCACCATTGTCCTCCAAAGCTTGAATTCCTTTATGACATTCCTCCATTTTATATATATGACAGCCTCTAGTGTTATGTTTGTTGTTGGCATTCAAGATAACACTCCATTATTTTGGACTCAATTTCAACAATGTTTCTATCTCACCGTTGTTCTACATCATTTTTAAAATGTTAGTTCTTCATATTAACGCACACGCTAATCCCAGCCTAAAAAATTAGTTTTTCATATTACAAAAGAGTTTAACCATTTTTTTTTTTGAAGAATACATGAGAAAACTTAAAAGAACCTTAAATGATGAAGGTGACTTTTCCACTTTCCCATCAAAAGATGTCTCTTAAGCAAAATTGACACATGAAATCAACAAATATATCAACGCACGTTAATCCAAGTGTAGTTGTTGAAAATATGTTCTTATCAGAATCGATGAAGCGATGATCTATATTTCTTTTATGCCTATGTTGCTTGTTGATCCATTCGTGGGAGAACTGATGCTAATGAATCTTTTTACCATAATTAACTGACTCTAGAGCAAGCTCGCTTAAGTGTGAATAATGAGTACTAAAGCGACATAATGATCAAACATAGTAGTAAAGTCTTATGTAGAATTACTATCTTAACAATGATGTAACATACTTCATTCACTATTTGATGTTTTAGCCGGAAAAAAATCCATATTGATTACTCCTTTAATTATTTATATTAAAAACAAATAACTAATTTATAAAATTAAATAAAAATACTTGAGATAGTTAATACAATTAAATTTTACTTCAAAAATATTATTTAAATAGACTGATTTGAATAATGATAATATTAAATGACATTACACTTAATTCTAGAGATAAATTTTTCCACCAATAAGTGTAACTTGTATAATTAATGGATCAATAAATGCATCTACTTGCATGAAGATATAAAAAAATTGGTAATTAATACATCTTAAAATGGGTATTTTTTTATAATTAGACAAAAAAAAAAGTGTATCCATTTATTTCATATGTAAAGGATCAAGGAGTAGCATGCTAGTAAAGCATTGAACGCTTTTTTGTTATAGTATTTTTATTTATTTATTATAAAGTGAAAATATAAAAGAAGTATAAATAAAAGATAATATAATTAATATAAAAAAAAAGAATATGTTAGAAATTTCTTTAATAACTTTTTATGAAGTTTAAAATATTAATAATATTTTAAAAATATTTATGCAAAGTCTTAAATATTAAACAAAATTTAATAGAACTATCAAGTTGGTTCCAACTAGATTATGTTAAGAAGGAAATACCCCCTTGTATGTATTTACGATTTTTAACAGACTGTTTTTGATAATTGATATTTTGCGCCAATAATGTTGTAATTACTTAAACAAAAAAAATCCAAATAAAAATAAGCTCAAATTTTTTAAAGAATGAATTATATTTGAGTTTTATGAATGAAAAAAAAAAGTGTGATTTAAAGAAAGATTCACTAAAAATGAATAATTAATTTTTTTATAGTGATTAATGATTGATAAAAGTGAATAAATAATTTGTATCAATGAGGTAATTATAATAAGAATTATTTTAAATTTTTTTAATTTTTTTAAAATAAATAAATAGAACAATAATTTTACAAAATGATTTTTATTAGAATAAAAAAATAAACTAATATTATATTAAAATTAAAATAACACTTTTTTAAACATTTTTTTTTCTTACATAGCAACGATAACGTACGGAGGGTATATTCCAAACCGTGTCTTATTCTAGTCACCAAATTGCTGCCTTGTTGGATCAAACTCATGCTTTATGACAATTTTTGTTTTCAAAATATATCATTAATTACCCATACTGTCGATGCAATGCAATGGTGCTTCTGCCGTGTTAAAGTGAGATTGTTTCAGCTGCCCTTGGGCATAAAGAAGGTTCGAATCTTTCTTTAACGAGAAATATTTATGTATATAAGTTAAATTAACGATTACGTATATATTTTATGTGTAATATAAGTTTGTTCAACCCTAATAAGTAATAACAGCAGCATCACTTAAGAAAATCAATATTACAAAGATATAAATTCGGATCTGTAACGCATCCAACTGGATAGGATAATTAATTGGATTGTCCATATGTTACAGGCCTAGGAGGCAGTCTACACTAACAACTTAGCCTGAATCAGACAACACAGAACTTAGCTGTCAAAAAACCACTAACCTTTACAACGCATGCAAAGGTTCACTGAGAATCGCCAGAAGAATAGACCCTAACCAATTACCGATAAATAATGAATCATCCATATCTTGTTACATCAATGCATCGATCTTCTGTTCAAATATTAATAAATTATTTGAAATAACATAACAAATATGAACTATATATTTGTAATCAGATCGGAATAAAAAGGGATCAACTATTAGTACTCCAAAAATTAAATATGAATGCCCTAAAAAAACTATATTGTATGATAGTAGATGATGGATATTATGGCTGGTTGACCCCTAGAAATTAATTCAAATCGAATGAGATGAGGACTATGCACTGTGATGATGACGGTACAAAAGGAAAAGGATGTGTATTTGTTGTGCTACTCTTTTTTTCTCGATGGCTGGGAACTGGGAAGTTACATTGAATTGACAACTGAGGATGATCACGCCCACACTTGTGCAAAGAAAGAGAGAGGGTTTAGCAAAACATACGCATGGAAATTCTAAACAAGCCCCCCTTCTTTTCTTTTGTTCCGGAACCCAATAATTGTAGGGTCTGTGACTTTTTGTCCCTCGTCACAGTGTGTGAAAATTGAATTGCTTGAGAGCAACCCTATCTTTGTTTTTCTCATCTTTATACCACCACCTAATAACACACAGATACATTTATCTTTTATGGGTTAACAAATCATATTAATAAACTATATGTAAATTCTATTATAAATACTTGCTAAAGTTGGTGATATTTTCTGGTTTCAAAAGAGGATGTACCTTTCCCTAATAATATATACTGGCTGCAAGTGTTTAAATTGCAACTATTATATATGAAAAAGAACTAATTACATTATGACAACTCATCTTTTAAGTACTTTCGGATGAGTAACATAGTAAAATATTCTTTATACATGCATTAAAAAAAGGGCTATTCAATTCTTATCATATGTAAATTGAAATTCTCCAAGTAGAGAAAGGATCCCTGCCATTTCGACCTAGCCTAGCTATTCTTTCATCTCTGACCCTATATAGCTAGCTAAGACAACTCCTCATCAATCATCATGCGTCTGCTACTCCTTCCTTTTTAGCCTTCTTAGCTGTGTGCCTTTGAATTCCCTCCTCCTTGACTCTACTGTGCATGTATGAACCTTCCTTTAATTCACTGTTACACAAGGTGGGATATGTCTTTATGATATCAACCCTCTTCCCTTTTTATTATCTATCTACCTCTCTTACATCTGTTATCTGTCCCATTCTTCTCTCACTCTATTTATTCTACGATCTTGTTCTTCCTTTCCGGCCTCATCCTCAAGCCCCCCTTGAATCTATCTATCTCCTGCTCCTTCTTTCCTAGCTCACAAGTGTCAAAATGGAATACACATATCATACACCTCTTACCCTTTTCCATTCTCTTCTTTCCTAGTTCAATAAGGTTTCCCAACACTTTTTTCCAACTCATCTTTCTCTCCTAGTTTAATTATTTAAGTTAGGTTAATGCAACTACTTCAACTTCTCATTATTCTAAACATTTTCGATTTTTTTAAAGTGTCCACTTGCTTTTACACAACACACATGTCGTTTCCCAAGTGTGTAATGTAATCACTCCCTTTTCGTGGTGGTCTATAAACGATCTTTTTGTGGTTGATCCGGAAGTGTTGCAATGTTTCTTTTCTTCTTTTAAGCTTTCGATCACTTCCCATATATGCACCTGCAGAGAGTGGAGTTGAGCCGTAACATGAACTGTTTGGGATCGCAAGTTCGCAAAGGAAAAAGTGAAGCTGCCAGCATGATCTAGCTTTGGTTAGAGAGCTGAAGAGTGCTAACCCTGACTAGGTCATGCTGTGACAGCCTCACTCCTTCCTATTTGGGGACCCATTAGATTC